TTAGCAGCGAGTTTAGCATTGCATGTCAGCTTATTCTACCTTCCAAATCTATTATGACACCTCCCTCAGTCTATTTTATCATTTATTGTATAAAGTGAATATAATTTCTTCTTCCCAAGGTTGTTGTGAGAATTAAGTGGATAAGAAATGTTAAATCTTCATGTATAGCAGGTATTCCTTTTGGGACAGTGAATATTTATTGAGTGTCTAGGATGAATGGTAATAATAGCTATTATCTATGTGGCACCACTCTTTTTGTTGTGGTGGTGGTGGAGGTGGTAGAATCCATATAACATAAAATTTGCCATCTTAGTCATTTTAAAGTATACGATTTGGTGTCCTTAATTACATTCACACTGTTGTACAACCATTACCATTATCCCGTTCCAGAACTTTTTCATCACCCCAAATAGAAACTCTGTATCCATTAGCAGTCATTCCATAACCTTCCTGCTCTACCCCTGCCAACTACCAACCTGTACTCTGTCCCCGTGATTCGCCTATTCCGGATATTTCATATCCATAGAGCCATGCAGTATACGGTCTTTTGTGTCTGGCTCCTTTCACTTAGCGCATTTTCAAGGTGTACCCACCTTGTGTTATGTATCTATACTCCTTTGCTTTTTTTTTTTATTGCTGAACAACATTTTATTGTACCACATTTTGTTGGTCTATTGGTTGATGAATGTTTGGGTTGTTCCTTCATTTTTTCCTAATAATAAAATAAGGAAGACTGCCTCTTACTGAGAGCTCAGACTGTGTCACCAGCTGTGTAAACACGTCACAAACTGAGGCAAGGGACCTGCTGTCTCATTTTTCAAGGACCACCCCCCGCTACCAAGGACCACTCTTGAACCCTGGGAAGAAAGGGCACTGCTTTCAGTGGGAAGCTAGGGACTGGACAGCAGCCAGGACCAGACCCTCAAGCCCTCACTCTGAGGCTGCAGCATGAGGGGCCTGCAGTGGATGCCCAGCTGGGCCCCAACACTGGGCTCCAGACCTGTGATGGCTCCAGGACATCAGTAAATACAGAGTGAGCATCTTGGAGGTGGACCCAGGAGAAAAGGGTGCCTCCAGGAAATCGCCTGGCATCTGCTAT